AGTGGACTGACTTTTCATTTTGGTGATATGACTTGACTATTTTATCTTGATGAAATGTCTTTTTTTAGTCTAGTTTTACTTCTCACATTAAAACTGTCTTGTCTAATTAGCTACTTGAACTTTGGTTAATGTTTACAGGGTATATATTTTCCCATCTATTTGTTATCTTCCTATGTTATTATATTTCAAATATCCTTATATTTCAAGGCCCTCTTATAAATGGAGATAATTGAGTTCTGGGGGTTTTTTGGTTCAGTATTTTTTTTAACATTTTTTATTGATTTATAATCATTTTACAATGTTGTGTCAAATTCCAGTGTAGAGCACAATTTTTCAGTTATACATGAGCATATATATATTCATTGTCACGTTTTTTTCTCTGTGAGCTACCATAAGATCTTGTATATATTTCTCTGTGCTATACAGTATAATCTTGTTTATCTATTCTACATTTTGAAATTTTTAAAAACTTTTTTCTTATCAGTTGTTTTACTCAAACCACTTGTATTTACTGTAGCTATTTATTTGGATTTAAGTCTACCATTTTGCATTTTGCTTTTTGTTTTCTCTTTGTCTGAGTTCTTCTTCATTTCTTTATTCCTCCTTTCTTGTGTTCTTTAGGACAAATCACGTATGTTTTATTACTCCATTTCTCTCTCCTTAGCTTTTAGTGATACATTATTGCATAATTCTTTAACTAGTTACCCTATGCAGATACATCCTGGACTTACTAAAGTTCATCTTAAATAAGCATTCTAGCCACTCCCCTAAAATACAAAATTCTTAACAAATTTTGGCTCCATTTACCCCCCCTTCCATAGTTTGTGCTATTGCTTTCATATAATTTACTAATACAGTTGACCCTTGAACAATGTGAAGATTAGGGGTGCTACCATCTTGTGCAATCAAATCTTCATATAACTTCACAGTCAGCCCTCCACATCTATGGTTTCACATCTATGAATTTAACCAACCATGGATTATGCAGTACTGTAGTACATATTTATTGAAAAAATATGCTTATAAGTGGATCCCTACAGTTCAAACCCAGGTTGTTCAAGGGTCAAGTGTATTTATATTATAAACCCTACAAGCCATTTTTAAAACTCTTGTTCTAAATAGTCAATATTCCCTTGTGTCTACCCACACATTTACCCTTTCTTACACTCTTCCTTCCTGCAGTTCTATCCTTCCATCTGGGATTACTTTCATTCATCCTGAAGAATGTCCTTTTTATTTCCTATATAGTTTAGGTCTGCTGGTGACAAGTTCTCTGTTTTGATTTTTCTGAAAATATTATTTCACCTTTATTTTAAAATTTTTTATTGATTTAAAGATTCTTTAAATCCTATAGTGCTTTATAATGTTCAAAATTTTCACACAGGTGATTTCATATAATCACATAATAACCTTTTCCCCGTCCCTATATTGCTCCTCCCCACTTCCCTCTCCCTGCTGGTAACCAGGTTGTTTTCTATATCTGTGAGTCTGCTTTTTTTTTGTTTGTTTGATTTACTAGTTTGTTGTATTTTTTAGATTCCACATGTAAGTGATATGGTACAGTGTTTGTCTTTCTCTGTCTGACTTATTTCACTTAGCATAATGCCCTCCAAGTCCTTCCATGTTGTTGCAGATGGCAAGATTTGATTCTTTTTTATAGTTGAGTAGTGTGTGTGTGTGTGTACATGTGTGTATACACACACACACACACACACATACACATACATACCACATTTGTTTATTCATTCATCTGTTGATTGACTCTTAGGTTGCTTCCATACTATTTCACTTTTATTTTTGAAGGATATTTTCACTGGGTATAGAACTCTGGGTTGGCAGTTTATATATTTCAGCCCTTTAAAGTTATTCTATTTCTTCTGGCTTTCATAGTTTCTATTAAAAAGTCAACTGTTTATGTAAGAGTAATATCTCTTTTTTTCTCTGACTGCTTTTAAAAATTTGTCTTTGTCTTTCTTTTCATTTGTATTTTATGTATTTTATTTTCAGCAGTTTAACAGTGATGTGTTTTGGCATAGTCTGGGAGACTTTTTGGATTTTTGCTGCTTATGAATTGCTGAGCTCTTCTTTCATTAGTCATCAAATATTATTTTTATCTCCTCCTCTCTGTCTTCACTCTCTGAGATTATAGTTACTCATCTTTTGAATCTATTGACTATATCCACATGTTTCTAATGCTCTAATCTATTTTTTCCATATTTTGCTTCATTTTGCATATTTTCTAGTGATTTTTCTTCAAATTTATTAATTCTTCTCCTGGATCTTGTCTGCTCTTAAATCTATCCAATGAGTTCTTAATTTTTAATATTACATTTTTTATTCCAGGGTGTTCATTTAATTTTTTATATGGGTTCCAGTTTTCTGTGGGTATTATTTATTTTTTCTTGCATTTTGTTCATCTTTTTCTCTACTTTTTAAAACCATATTAATTATGGTTATTTTGAAGTCTGTGTTTCATTGTCTGGATCATACATGAGTCTTCTGTTCTCTGTATATTCTCTTGATTACCAGCCACATTTTTCTGCCTCTTTTTATATCATACACACACATACATAAATACATACATACATACGTACATACATACTGGATATTTTATATAAAAGAACTGTTGAGACTCCAGGTAATATTTTCTGTCAGAAAGAATTCTTCCTGTCCTTTGTTAGGCTAATAGGATAAGGGCCTGACCCCCTCAGTCTAATCATGGATTGAGCTAGTCCAGATCTGGGTTTGTACCCATGGTTTAGCCCTATTCCTTGGACATGGACCCTTTTGGGGTTTTGATTAAGAACCTAATAAGTCTCCATATTGGTAGTCCTGAAACACTGCAAGATATTGTCCTACCCTTGAGAGGTCGGGGGTTTGGTTCTTTGACCTTTCACCCCTTACAATCTCAAACTGTGGTGTTTATCTTGAAGAGGAAATAAGCTACATGTTTTAGGTAGACCTCCTCCTTCTAGTATGATCTAATCTTCTGAAATCACAAGATTATGAGAGATTTCATTCTGCCTTTTAGAAGCTCTCAGTCTAACTTTGCAGTTCCAGCATGCAGGCTCAGGACTCAGCAAATATCCCATGTGGAAAATTGGCCACTCTTCAAGTTCCAGTCTGTCACAGCAGTCTCTCTGATGTCTCTTTCCTTGAGTAGAGGTCTTCAGCACAGGCCAAGCCTGATCATCAGTTCATGCCCCAAATTGGCAAATGTCCTCAGAAAAGAAAACAGTGTCAGCTACTTCAGAAGCCCTCTCCACCCCAGTCTGGAATTCCGGATTGTCTACTCCTCATGATTTCTACAACACTGCAGTGTCTTTTAAAATAATTTATCTGAGTTTTTCTAGTTGCATCAGTAACATTGCACTGTAATAATCTAGTACATCCTACCTCGAAGCACAAGAAATACTATCTTTTATCTACCCACTGTAATTAGTTTATTAACTGTCTCCCTAGTTCTACTCTTGCCCTCTCCCCTCCCAGAGCAGCCAAAGTGTTCCTTTTAAGTACATCCTATCACTCCCCTGCTCAAAACCCTACAGTGGCTTCCCTTCATACTTAAGATAAGTTCAGATTCATTTTCACAGTCTACAAAATACCACACAATCTCATTGCTACTCCCGTTCTAACCTAATCTCCTTGCACTCTCTCCTTTGCTCACCCAATTCCAGCAATACTGAACTCCTTGCCAAATCTCAAACACACTGACATGATTCCATCTCAGAATCTTTGCACTTGTTACATACCCTCTACTTGGAAGGCTCTTTCCTCAGATCTTCATAAGGCTTCGCCTTTATTTCATTTGGGAGCTCTGTACAAATGTCAAAGAGGCTCAAAGAGGTCTTTCCTCATCCCTCTATCTCCTTACCTTGCTCTAGTTTTAATCATAGCACTTACTTGACATTATATTGTAGAATTATTTGCCTATTCTTTGTCTCCCCAACTAGGAGGCAAGCTCCATAAGCACGGAAACTATGCCTATTTTGTTCACTGTTCTACCCCAGGGCTTAGAATAGTGCATAACCTGTAGTAAGTGCTCAGTAACCTTGTGGAATGAATTAGATATCCCTTACCTTGAAGAGGTCTCAGCTTAAGAAGATGAATGATTGGAGTAAAATTGAAAGTACTCTAACGTAGATGTCTACAGAGTGCTTTGGCATGGGTGGGATACTGACTTAGTTGGGGCATAGTCAGACAAGTCCTCAGTAAGGAGGTGGCCATGGAGCTGAGTGATGAAAACTGAGTATTGATGTATGTCTGACCAGGAAGAATGGAGAAGGCAATGTATATGAACAAATTGATGCCCAGAAAACAGTGGAGCTAGAACATGGGGGTGAGTGACAGGAAATGACATCAGACATAACTGGAGAGCAAGACAGGGACAAAGTCACAAAAGTCTTTGGATATCAGAATAAAAAATTTGGGCTTTACCTTAAAGTAATATGGAGCAAAGGTTTTTAAGGTAAGGAAGGATGCTATCAGATGTATATTTCCATGTGTTTCACTATTCCTCACTGCAATAATTACACTAAAACTCTGAGTAGATCGTTGTAGGAAATCCCTGACTTGGTTGTCAGGGTCCAGTTTCAAAATGTAAGTCTTTATCCCAACTCACTGCATAACAGGGAAGGCATCATTTCCTCTTCCGAGCCTCAGATCTTCATTCTTAGCAGGAGAGGATTATGGGCTTCTAAGAGCCATTCCATCTCTGAGCCTGTAATTCTGTTTGTATACTTTTAACTAGAAGCCTTGGGGAGAAAATTTTAATATTTTTTCTAAATCTGCCAAAATAATTAAAACTTCCAATTCTATCCAATCTAAATTCAGTTCTCCTCTGAGATTTTCTAACATTTAGGTCAGATGCCAAGAAATTAGCTTCTTGGGATAAAACTACCCGAGAACAAGTAGGAAGTCTTTTTTTTTTTCTTTGCCTCTGACTGTGATGGGAATGCAGGTGGGAGGAGAGGGTGATAGAATGAGTCTTTTTCTTGCAGTTGTGATTCCAAAGACTCCCTATCCTGCATCTGATGTGAACCCTGAGAAGCCCAGCATCCACAGCAACACCAAAACTGTCTTGGAGCATCAACCAGGGCAGAGGGGACGTAAACCAGGAAAGAAGCGGGGCCGGACATCCAAGCCCCTAATTCCCCATCCCATCTCTACCCCATCCAAGTCAGCTGAACCTTTGAAATTCCCAAAGAAGAGGGGTCCCAAACCTGGCAGTAAGGTAGGTAAAAATGTGGATTTCCCAGCAAGGGATAAAGGGTTATAAAGGGGTAACATCCATATCCATCTATCTTAGAAAGAAGCGTGTCTAGTCCTATCCTCCACATTGTGTATGCTTTTAGAAGAATCTCCTAGATTGTCATCCCTACTTTAGCTACTTACGTGGGGGTTGGTAACAGTAGAGATAAGACAGTGTGGATAAGAAACAAATTTTGACTTAGAAAGTTAACATTCATGGGAATTCTGGTCTAATGTCTTCCATAGATGGAAGACCCTGCTCCTAATTTTTAACCTGCCCAGAGTGGATACCCAAGTATGTGAACAAAAAGAGAAATCTGACTCTGTAAATGTATTTCTTTTTCTGTCCCTGTACCTTCTTAGAAAGAAAGGAAGAAAGAAAATTATTGAATATTTGCTAAGTATCAGGCTGTATACCTGACACCATTACATATCACATGATCTTCATTCACAAAACCCTAGGAGATGAGTAGTGTTAATGCTATTTAGTGGTCAAGTAAATTGAGACTTAAGAGTGTGAGAGCCCTAAGGTCACATAGCTAATAAATGGCAAAGACTACAGAGATGAGTCTCCAGATCTTCTAGTCCTAAGGTTACTGCTGCCCTACCACGTTTCTTGAGGGAGGTAACACTTACCCCTAGTGTAGAAGACTGCTGGGTTGAGATTCACTAAGCACTGTTACTGAAAGTGCCACCTTTTAGTTGTGTCCAGTTCTTCATGCATGTCCTCCCTAGGGAAGCCACTGATAGGAAGATTCCTCAGCTACTTCTCTTGGGCTTCCTTTGGCATCACCTTCTCCACTCACTTCCTAACTCCCAGGGGATTTCTCTAAAACTCCCTCCCAAACTAGACTACCTGAGTTCCAATGTGGAAATGATACCTATTTCTCCTTAGGCATTCCATTTCAATTTCAATTTCAAATTTTGTTAGTTGGTTGGTTTGGTTTTGTTGATAAGCTCCAGCTGACCTCAGTCCTTCTAGAATATAAGCTCCTCAAGATTAGGAACTTAATCTTTTTCTTCTCTTTTTCTCCTGCAATGCCCTGTATCTCAGTCATTTGGGAAATGTTCAGTTATATGCAAGATGGATGAATGGATGGATGACTTCACTGATGGTGTTCTGATTGAGATTATCTCTTACTTACTGGTTTTGAATTCTTGATGTCACATCCTAATCTTTCTGTGTAACACGTAATTCTCCTGATCTATTACCACTAACCCCTAACCTAGATCCTGATGCATTTTTGGCTCCATTACTCTCTTCTCATTCTCATGTTGTGGAGGAGAGGCTGAAAGCCCTAAAGATTCTAAGGCCAGGGAAACCATGCTTTCGATAATGTGAAGACATCTTGACAGTCGTATTAAAGGGGTAGAAAACTTGTCTGTGAGGTTCCAAAGATAGGACCAGAACCAATAAGCAGAAACTCAAACAGACAGACTTTGTCTCAACATTAAAGAAACAGTTAAATCTATTTCAAAATAGAGGTGGTGATCTCCCATCACTAGAAATATTTCATCAGGTACCAGATGACTATTGGGAGTGATGTTTTTAAGGAGAGGGAAGTAAAGTATTGGATGGATAGTTGGATTAAGTAGCCTTTAAGATCCTTCAAAACCTAAGAACTATGATTTTGCCTCTGCTCTGCTTTTTCAGGAAACCCTAAACACGGTAGCCAAAGTCCTCTTTCTTGCCAACCCTCTTGAAAGCAATAATGTTCATCTACTACTGTATTTTATGGCCTGGCATTTGACTCCCTAATTCCTCTTCCTGTCCTTTTCTGTATTTCTGTAAGGGCATATGCCTCTATTTAACCCATGACCCTTATATTCATTTTTGAAGCAAAGCGTCTTGTGACAAGAGCATAGGTTTTGAAGTCAAACAAACTTAGATTTATATCTCATCTCCAGGTGTTACCACCGTCTGACTTTGGGAAAGCTTTGAGTAAGGCTATGAGTCCCAGTTTTCTCACCAGTAAAATGGAGCTGAGATAATATGAATAGATATAATACATGTAAATGCACTTACCTCAAGTAGTAATAATGCTTTCCATCTTTCTACTTTTTTCTGCGATATTTAGGCATCTAACTCACTGGGTTTGTTCCTTCAGGGACCCCATGAAATCCTATCACCAGTTCAGTGAAGTTGAACTGGTATTTCCTTTCTTCCCTGACACATTGCCTATTTGAATGTTTACTTGTGGCAATATCAAAAAAAATACTATGAAATGTCCATGTCCTCTGTGTGCTTTGAATGTTCCATAAGAGTTTGCATGACTGCTTTCACAGGCAAGGCTGACTTATATATGCCTGCTGTCATTGTTACCATCTCTTTAGATACACTCTTAGAAGGCAGTCAGGTTTATACAGCACCCAGAGTGGACTACATGTGACATTTAATAAAAAGAGATTTTTGGATTTCAGTAATGGTTATGTTTTCCTTGCATTTAAAAAACTGTTTCTTGGGGAAAAAAAACCTGCTGAGGTCTTTCTCCCCCAGAGACACACTGAACAACATAAAGGAGATACTAGATTTTTCTCAAATCATTTTTATTACTTTGCCCATTATTGGTATTCTATGCTGTATGCTTCATTGGAAAGACATTTATTGACGCTTATCATATGCCAAGTACCACGTAGGAATTGTACTCCAAATCAGACCTTCAAGAAGCGCCAGGCTCATGGGGGACACCAGTATGTAAATATATAATGACAATACATTGTGACAAATGCAACAATACAAAGTACAGAAATAGCACAAAAGAGG